ACTATCCTTGCAGCAGTTAAAACATGCAATATCAAGTAATCATTCTCTTTACCATAATTAGGTCTTAACATTCCTAACAAAAACAATTCTGGTTTAAATTCTATGTAGTTTCATCATCTTTTCCAACCATCTATGCATCTTAGACCAATATTTCTTAGCGATAGGGCATATCCACCAGGCATGGTAATAAGTGCCTGGCTGTTGTTTACATTTCCAGCAGATATCCAAAACATTTTTAAACATTTTCGCTAATGTCAGCCTCTTTTTCAATTGCCCTTGAGTTTTTCCCAGGCATCAAATTCTTCACATTATGAATCCAAAATACTTAAGCTATAGCATTATTGCTTCTAGGAAACAGTCTGATTTTACTTTCCTACTAGACTCCTGTGGTGATTTAACCAGTTTAGTTTTGTGTCTTTATTACTAATGTTATGTTCCCTTGTTCTTTTATCTGTTTTCTTTGAACTACCCAGAGAGCTCCAGTGACTAAGCATATAACAAAGAAATGCAGCTAGCATTGTAGGTGGCATTTCTGCTACTGTTTAAATACACACTGAGCGGGGAAAAAATCATGAAAATACTTTTTGTACATTTTTTCATTATATATTTTATAATTATAAAAATGATATTGAATAACATCTGTTAATTTTTAATCAGCAGCAAATAATAGCCTAATCCTTTGGCAACTTAAGTGAAGCAGAAATGAATATCATTATGTTAGTGAAACCACGCTCACTAAGTCGCTCTTCTCACACAAATATTCTCAGGCACATTCATCCTGTTCACTTTTAAACTCATTCACAATCCATCCATGTATTCACTCAAACATATATTCCAAGTGTGACTCAGCTGAGACCCCGAATTCCCATGGCTGGATACTTTTCACTGGCAGTTTAAAACATTTTTTTACTATGTTCTTGAGATGCACTCAAAAGTCCCAGTAATTATTATACTAATTACGGAATTCTGGAAATTAAAGACAGTATATCTTACTGGTGCCCAGGCTGGGCTCCCACAAATAAGTATCACATTTAGATTCAAACTACTATTAGACTAGTTTTAGTCCAAGTATTTCAGCATGTTGAGATTGCAGAATTACTAGCTATTTTTCCTAATAATTCATATTTTAAAATGAATACTTTTCAAGTTGCCTTTGTGTCACTTAATACAGAAATTAAGAAAAAATTTTACAAAACAGAAAACTCAACAGGACATTTTAAACACACAGGAATTTTATTAATAGCCGCAAATTAGCTCAATAAAATAAAATAATAGACTTAATGTTGGAGACCAGATTTCAAATGTAATAAAGGGGATTTTTTAAAAAACATGATAAAAAAACAAATTGCCTTTCTTGAAGTATAACAGATGGGAAACAAAGTTTATTTTTGAAGAATTACAAGAATTGTGGAATTATTGTTTCCCCAAAGCTAAATGAAAAGCATGTTAAACACATATTTAAAGGATAAATAAGCAAAGCAATATCATCCTACTATATAAATATCCCACTATACTTTCATACTTAGGCATTAGAACAACACTTTTAATTAGCAGAACTTTCATTCTAAGGCCTTGAACCAGTAGTTTCTTTGCAGGCCAAAATCTCATGCTGGCAGGAAGGGATAATATTAATTAAACACTCTTACAATACTGATAAGGATATCTTATGACTTCTTGACATGCAATCAGCATTTCTGATGGAAATAGTTTTTTGCACAATCTGCTTAAAGAACAGTTCTTGGAATCTTAATAATAATGATAATAATAATAATGATGATGATGATGATATAATAATGTTGGTGTTGTTGATGATGATGATGAGTTGGAAGGGACCTTGGAGGTCTTCTAGTCCAACCCCCTGCTCAGGCTGGAAACCCTATACCAGGGGTGTCAAACTGCTGGGCTGTGGGCTGGATGCGTCATGTGGAAGCCATGCCGACCCCATTGCCGGCAATGGCAAAACCGGCCCGATACGTCGAGAGTTTGACATGCCTGCCTGCCCTATATCATTTCAGATAAATGGCTGTCCAGTCTCTTTTAAAAACTTCCAGTGTTGCAGCATTTTCTACTGGAGGCAGGTTGTTCCACGGATTAATTTTTCTAACTGTCAGAAAATTTCTCCTTAGTTCTAGGTTGCTTCTCTCTTTGATTAGTTTCCATCCGTTGCTTCTTGTCCTGCCTTCAGGCGCTTTGGAGAATAGCTTGACTCCCTCTTCTTTGTGGCAGCCCCTGAGATATTAGAACACTGCTATGTCACCCTTCGTCTTTCTCTTCATTAAACTGGACATACCCAATTCCAGCAACCGTTCTTTCTGTTTTAACCTCCAGTCCCCTAATCATCTTTGTTGCTCTTCTCTGTACTCTTTCTAGAGTCTCAACATCCTTTTTACATGGTAGTGACCAAAACTGGATGCAGTAGTCAACTATTTTGTACACCACTAGTTGGATTAATATATATTACTACAAACCAAATGTTTTATGAGATTATAATTTCTTCCCTATAAAAAAAATTCTGTTTTCCCTCCCTTGGCATGTGTAAGCTAAGGCAGCAACCATCACTTCCCCATTGTTGGTATGAAAATTGAATGGATGCATCCATAAAATCACCAGAAGAGGGGTTTAAAGGGACTTTGTCTTAAAGTTTGCTGAAATGAATACATTTGATAATAATTTATTTGGAGTGTCTCTCAATTTCTTGTTATGTAAACAAGATTTGGATAAAGCCCTTCATCATGATAAGAAATAAAAAAATTAATTGTACCAAACCAGAAATAAGTAAAACATTGCATTTATGTGAAACCTGAAAAGGGTCTGAATTATGATTCGAATAGCCATAGCTAACCATGCACACAGGTAGTAAATCTACAGGAGCTGGGAAAAAACTATTAGAGTACTCTGTATAATTTTCTTCTTTATTAAAAGCTAATTATAACCTTTAAGGCGACTTAATTTTATTTACCTGTCATCATGTTTCATAAAGGAAATACTAACAAAGTAACCAAAGGAAGTAATAAACTATTTTCTGAGGAAGTTACAGCTGAAATTTGGAGAGGAATTTGAATTTGGAGAGGCAGCTTCCATGTTTAACTTTACAACACAACTGAGATAAAAAAGAATTAACCAATTCAACGTAAGTGAATATGTCTACTCAAGGTTGAACTGTGGAGTATTTGGTGCTCTCTGAGCTTGGTTGCTTTCTTGCAGATGTTTCATTACCCAACCCAACTCAGTAGAGTTTGGCAAAAGATCAAAAATCTGTAGCGCCTTTTCTGGCTAACAGATTTTTGTGAGCTTAAATTTGTTAGTTAGAAAAGATGTTATCAGATTCCTGATTTTTTTTATCATCATAGACTAGCATGGCTTTCTTAGAGTTTGGCAACTGTTTATTGATTACAATATTCAGAAAAATTGTCTCCTTTATTATTATTACTGTTCATCACACAGTCAGCCAGATCTTCAGACTGGAGTTTGGCATTTTTGTCCACCTATTGAATTCTTCCCAAGGGATAGGCAGATATGGATGTTTGATAGTCTTACAGATATCGTCACAGGATGTAAGATGTTCTGAGTAAAGCCGCTTTTTGCAATTGACTAATAATGAATTTGTTAATGCTGATATTTACATATTTTACTGGATTTTACTATTTCTTATTATTTCTTAGTTTTTTATACTATTATCATACCATTGGTACGTAGCTCTTTATGGATCTAATTTGGGCAATGTGAAGTGACCCGCTATATTTGGACAGCTGTGAAGCAACAGCAAATATTATGTAATTTATTATTATTGTGGTATTACTGGCAGGAGAGGCTATTGTGAAATTTTCTCATATTTTGTATCAAAATAATTGGCCATACCTCAGGCAGCCAGATATCTTGGGCCAGCCATACACCTAGAACTAGGGAATGTACAGTTACACACTCCTTTTTCTCCAGTTACTGTGCAACCAGTTAAGCAACATAGAGTTAAGAGTTATTACATCTCTCTGCTGCCCAATTTGCAACCAAAACATGATAACTCAATTCTTGTTTTTCTCTGTTGGCTTTAATTTCCAGTAAAAGGTACTGATTTTGGATGAATTTCCACTGAGCAAGGCCATCCAAACGTAACAACCTTACATAGATGTTCACAGTACAAACAAGCAAGAAACAAATTTACTTCCTCCCATAAACACCAACTAAATGTAGTAAAAATGTTAAGTTTTACTACATAGAACTTCCAAAATGGTCTATGAGAGAGAGTCTATAACTCAGATTCCCCAACTTAGTTAGACATAATGCCGATTGGTCGATGGTCCTAATTACAAGGTAGGATATACACAGGACTGAGGAGACTGGTTCAAGCCCGCATTTAGTTTAATAACTTCGGGCCAATCACTATACTTAGTCCACTTTAACTTGCAAGATTTTTGCTATAGCAATGGTCTTGGAGTAAGAAATATTATGCAGCTGCCTGGAACAAAACTGAGGACCTGGAACAAAACTGAGTTCACACAAGTTAGCTAAACAAAATAAATAAAATATCTGAACCATATATTCTGTATAATGTTCATAATGAAGAATTTCCCACATTCCCTTATTTCACAATGTCCAATGAAACTGAATGTAATGCTTTGATCCCATGGAAAATATTCTGTGAAGAACGTCTGATAAAAACTGAATATAAAACGTAAAATCTGTTAAAAAGAAAAAGAAAGAAGAGACTAAATTCTCACTGTTGGATTTTTACTGGAAAATTCATATCGATGCTGTATGCCTTTGTAAACATTATTTATTAGGATGGATCTACTGGCGTCCTTCTATAGATGAGGATTGATCAAGGGTTATCCTTAATTATTTGTCCACTTCTGACATAGATCCTTCTGCGTTCTCTCTCTCTCTCTCTCTCTCTCTCTTTTCAAATCACGACCCTCTTTGATTTGGGATGAGCTCCTCCTTGAGTAGAAACTGCGGCTCGCTGACTAACCTGCGCGCAAAAAAAAAAAAAAAAAAAAAGGTCGCATCCGCGCCTTCCCTTCTCCTTGAAAACGGCTCTCTTCGCGGGAAAACCACGTTGATTCTGCCGCAGGCCTGTTATTTTCCACTTCGCGGGAGAATAAAACAATAAACTTCGGGAAAGCAATGGGATCAGCCGTCGACGGATTAATATTCATGAAGCCGGTGATGTCATGAGAAGGAGAGCTGTGGCCTCCTGAAAGCGCCATTTCCTGGAGGGAGAAGCAAGAAGCCGAGTCCAAGACTCGCAGAAGGAAGTCGCGCCGGCCGAAGGAGGGAGCTCCGCGTCGGGGCCAAGCTCAACTCTGCGGGCTCGGCGGCCCGATGAACTCTGTGCACTGCGGGAGGGAGGCCAGCAGGGGGGGACCTTCCCGACTTGGCGATCACAAGCTCAGGGAAAGAGAGCAGAGCCGCCGGCCGAGCCAAGCGCTGGTGGGGTGCCTGGCGCTGCCATCTCCAGCCGCTTCTTTTCCTAGCTTGCCGTGCGCGGTCGCGTGGGTGCCGAGCCCCTCTTCGCGCCCAGCTCGAGGGGGCGCGGACCGCCAGCTTTTCTTTCAAGGAAGGGGCGTCGTTGGTTTCCCTTTTTTCCCCCTCCCTTATTGCTTTGCCGTCTGCCCGTTCTCCCTTTCTTCCTTTTCCTCCCCCTTGCTTTCCTCCCCGTCGTTAAAATTTTGGGGACCGAGGCGAGACAACCGCTTTGGAGGTCGCTAGGAGGATGGTGATAAAGATGATGAAGGGGAAGAGATGGAGATGAAGCAGACTATGCAGATGTGGGGACTCCTGTTGCTGTTGCCGGCACTATGGGCTCTGTTTTCGCGGGACTTCAGGGCTGTAACAGGTAAGGAGATTCCGCTCCTCCGAGTTTCCTCTCGGTTAAGACTCTCGACTTGTTTTTTACCGGTTCTTGCCCCTTTCACACTCTCCCGCCCGCTGGATTTTACCTTTCCCAAGTGGGTGTGCTCCCGGTTCGAGTTTCTTGTTGGGCTATGGGTCACTTCTGTTCTGCAACCGAGTGGATGAAGCGGCACAACCGGGTCTCGGGTTGCTTTAGAGTGGGATCCCTTCGCCTTCGGGCACTCCTGTCCCGACAGCCCTTCTTTAAAAACAAACAAACAAACCCAAATAGATTTGCGATAGAGGCGAATAGTAAACTCCCGTGGATAGTTTTCTTCTTCCTCCGAAGGGACTTCCAGCAGATAAGCTCTCCCTGCTGCCCCGGGTTAAGCTCAGTAGTTACAATGATTTTCCCATCTACTCCCAGTGCTGTGAGACTGGCCTGCATCTTTCCTCGTTGGAGCTGAAACAAATGATAAAATTGAAGGAAAATGTATTTCATTGTTTATATTTGTTTAATCGCTGGTGTTATTTTTTGTTATGATTATTTTGTAGATGATAGTGATTTCATGCCCATCTTTGTACATGTCAAGTTGAACTAACAGTTTGCATGCCAAGAATCTGATTCTTCCATTCCACTCCATTGCCTGTTTTCCCAATTCTCCAATTCTAACATTATTTGAAGAGTCCTTGGGAGAGTTAGGACCTCACTCCTGTGGAGAGCCTTCCTATTAAAGGCTTTCTAATTGGATGGATTCAGCCAGTTCTAAATGAAATGTCCAATAAGATGCTCTTATGGTCCCTGCAGGATGGCCTCATTATCTTTGTAGAGGTTTTAAGTGAGGATTTGAATGGATTAGCACATATGAAGGTTGAAAAAGTTACAATCTAAGAGAATGTTCATTCACAGATATTTAGTGTAAAATATATTTAAGTGTTTTGCCCTTAAAACCAGGCTCTATCATCAAGTCAGAGTGGGTAATCTGTGACTCTCCAGTAGTTTGGAACTGTAATTCCAGTTGTTGCACCAGTCCACCAGGGTGTTGAGAGTTGTAGTTCATCAACACCTGGAATGCCATAGGTTCCTCAGGCAGCTGTCCCAGGTAGATTAAGTTGTGGATGGTAAAAGGGCAGTGACTTGTTAGTTTTTATGATATGTTTTACCTGTATGGCAAAAGGGAAAGATACTTGGGGAACTTTTTGTCCATGTACCAAAATAATGACTTCAGGCACTATGGCTAGCTAAGGTCATGGGAAGTTGCAAGCATGCATATCTCAGGCAGCAAAATGTCTTGGCCTGCCATCTATTAGAATAAGAATTGTTGGCTATTTTAGTACTTCTTTATTGCGTCAACATCATAAACATATTTGAGGTCTTTGGCAGCTCTATTTATATTTCCATAATTGAATATTGGCTACAGCTCTTGAACATAAGGTTATCCTTTTTCTCTCTGTGACTTTATCCCAGGCATTCATCTTTATGGAAAGACAGGAGGTTAAAAAAAACTATTTACTTCTTCTACAAGTGATAATAAATATACCACTGACACAATGTTTTGAGGACTTGGATCACATCACCCTTTATATGCCTCATTAATGTTTTTGTGAAATACTGATAGAAATAATGTTATATCAAGATCTCTACTGCAATATCACAAATGCACAAATAGATTTTCCAATGAATCAGTAACATTTGTAAAATTATTGAAATTAATATTTTGTTTTCTAATTCAGAACAGGTTAAAATTTGGAAGTTATTTATTTAGGGAGCAACTCTATTATTATAATCCCTCACCCTCCCACTGTATTGGTGAATTATTGCAGTTTGAAACCCTAAATGTTGTCACTGGGTCATGAACTAATAATTCCAGGTGGGATCCATCTGTTACTAGTTTCCAAAATTAGCTGGTTAGGGTGACTGACTGAAGGCTGATGTCAGTACTGAGTCAAAATAATCTGTGGGCAGAAAATAAGAAGTGGACATAAATAGATAGAATTTTTTAAAAAAATAAAAAATCAACCTGAAAGGAAAGCAGTAATGCTGATTCTTTGGCATAATTTAAGTTTGTGGGTCAGAAACTATCCTGGATATTTTCTACTGGGAAAATATTTTTGAGAATTAATGTGGATCTTATCTTACTTGCAGACCTAGATCATAGTATCTGGAAAGCATGGAGATCCTTCCATATCTATGGACTCTGTAAATGCAGTCCTCAGTTGTACCTCTTTTGGGTAGCACAATCTGTGTAGTGGTTAAGGCATCGGGCTCGAAACCAGGAGACTGTGAGTTCTAGTCCCACCTTAGAACAAAAGCTGGCTGGGTGAATTTGGGCCAGTCATTCTCTGTCAGCATAACCTGCCTTACAAGATTGTTGTGCAGAAAATAGAAGGAGCATTTTATGTATTTGCTGACTTGAGTTATCTATAAAAATAATAAAGGTGGCATATAGATGATAGATAGATAGATAGATAGATAGATAGATAGATAGATAGATAGACAGACAGATAGATAGATAGACTAATTAGAGTCACTATGAGAGCAAGTTGAAAATGCTGAGGTTTTTGAGATTCCTCTAAATCAGCGGTTCTCAACCTGTGGGTCGCGACCCCATTTCAAACGACCATTTCACGGGGGTCGCCAAACAACGCAGTCTGCCATTTTTCCCCCTTTTCCTTAGCTGTGCTACTCCCTCTTATTCTATTGGCTTTTGAAAGCCAATAGAATAGATTCTATTCAAGAGACTCTATTCTATTGGCGTTCGAAAGCCAATAGAATCTATTGGCTTTCGAAAGCCAATAGAATAGACTCTCTTGAATATAGTCTAATTCTATTGGCTTTCAAAAGCCAATAGGAATTGTCCAGGCTGTCTCTGCCTTGTTGAGCCCGCCAAAAGTCCCAGTCTGCAAACGGTGCTGCAAGTTGTCTGCAGCTAAGGCGAGCTTTCTGGACGTTTCCAACCCTCCCTGCTGAGCAACTACTAAATGTAAGTAAAAGAAGTCCAGGGGTGGGAGGTGGGAGGTGGGAGGCCGGCGGGTGCAGGGAGGGTTGCTGGTGCACATGGGGCCTGGCGGGTGGCTTACCTCCCTTGGGCTGGGCCAGCTGGTGGCCCAGCCGGTGGTTGGCCTGCGCCCTCACTGCCACGTGCCATGGCTGCCCAGGAGCGCCTGGGCCTGCCTGCCGCCGCACCGAACATGCGGTGGCCAAGGTAAGGCTAGCAGGGCAGCGGTGGGCGCAGGGAGGGTTGCTGGCGCACGTGGGGCCTGGTGGGTGCCTTACCTCCCTTGAGTTGGGCCAGCTGGTGGCCCAGCCGGTGATCGGCCTGCGCTGTCGCTGCCGCTTGCCAGCTACGCCTCGGCCGGCGCAGGGGGCAGCACCACGCATATGCGGTGCTCCTGGCCCGAGGTGGTTGCTGGGCGACGGCCTGCGTGCACCTTCGGCCTGCCTAGCGTGCACTCCAGCCGCAGGAGAGGAGGCAGTGCATACGCACCTCCTCCTGCCCCACCCGCAGGAAAATACAGGTAGTCCTCGACTTACGACCACATGGTTGGGGGTCACGGCATTAGAAAGGTTGAGAACCACTGCTGTAAATGTAAGAACTTGAACCATGCATCTTTTTGACTAAGAAGTGTCCATCAGTCATCTGTAGCATGGAGTCATTAACTTTGAAATACTTTCCAAGTCTGCTTTCCCCAGCCTGATATACCATTGATGTGGTCACAATATCCTTTTCAGAATTCTGGGAATTATATTTGCATTATAGGTCAAGAGTAGGCAACCTTGGCTCTTTTATGACTCGTGGACTTCAACTCCCAGAATTCCATGGCTGGCTCAGGAATTCTGGGAGTTGAAGTCCATGAGTCATAAAAGAGCCAAGGTTGCCTACCCCTGAGCTAGGTAAAAGATGCCTGTTCCAAATTCAAGCAAACCTACATTGCAGTCATATATATCTGGCACCTAATACAATGGGAATTAGGGGAATATTCCTCTGATAAACATACATTTCTATTTTCTTTTTCCCCCCTCTTAAGAATCCCAATACTTGCTATCAGTAGACAATGTTTGCAGAAACAGAAAGTTAATATGCTACACTGCAAAAACATCTAGAAGGCCTTTGGTAATTATTAGTTATATTTAGCTGGTAGCTGCATAAGTAAACTGAAATGTCTTTCCTACTTTGAGAGAGAATAGTGGTTTACTGGTGATTAGGCCAATAGGAATCAAGGTTGGCAAGAGTGAAACTGGTAGAGAGTTCATTGCGTTGTGCAACTTCTTTTGTGTATTTCTCATACCTACACCCAACCATTTAGGCAGCTTTTATTTTATTTTAGGTTTAGAATTAAAGATCCTTGAATGCAAAAGATTTGTTAAGTTACTGCTAACTGAGAGCAACTTCTTATTTCTATAATCATTACACTGTAATGATACATTATTGACTATGCTTCAGTTAAGCAACAGTTGTGTGTCCACACATGCACACATGTGAATGAATGCTGTGTTTTTCCACAGAAAATATATACATACCCTATAATTTTTCCAAAATTACCTTTGCCTTAAGAGGTTATTCATTTTTCATAATCAAAAGCCAAAAATATACTGAACTTTATTTTTCCTTTCCTTTTTTCTTTTTGTTCTTTGTGCAGGGCTCTCCTTCAAATGTGAAATACACTTTGCTTACTTAAGATTTCAGCAAGAACGATGACTTAAATCTGAAGTTGTCTGCACAGATAGCTGTATTTGTTCATGATTATGTTTTAGCAAGTGGATTGCTGAAAAGCTGAGCAGTTTTGTTATTGCAAAATATTGCCTTTATTTCATAAGACTGTCATTTTATAAGGCCACTTTGTGTATATATGGCATGGTCACAGAGCAAATAGCACAGGGCTTTATTGCTTCAAAATGATGCACACTGAGAGGGAGGATGTTTTCTGCCACATGCTCACATGCATAAACATACATAATTTAATCTAATTTGTTGAATTAAATAATAAGGGGTTAGAGCATGTTTCCAAGTGTGTGATTAATTCCTTAGCCCAGTACAAAAAAGTGCTGTGTCTAAATGTTGTATATTTTGCCACCTTCACTGCTCTTAGCAATTTACTTAAGTTAAACAAACAACAAAGAAAACATTACAAAGAAAATGGCATGGGAACTACTGGTTTTACTGGCTGTTAAGCAAGTTAGAAATCCATAATAGAACAAAATGCTTTTATTCTGCAGAGGTTCCTTAGTTACACAAGTGTGTGATTTTTTAATTTTTATTTAATGTATTTATATTGTATACCAATATACTTTAAACAATTTACAATACTATAGTAAAATAACATAAAGCAATATATGAAATAAAATACAAATATGAACTGAAAAAGAGCAAAACTGGCTGCAATATAAAATAACTACAACAGGAGATTAGTACAAAGCATTTTAAAACCCCTAAAAGGTTTTATGGTTGAAAAAACTGGGAGTATTAAATTCCATTTTCCACTGGAAGAACTATAATGTGGTTGCCTGGTGCACATTTCTGGAGAAAGCAATCTGCAACTCAGGTATCATAATTAAAAAGGCTCTCTGCCAAATCTTACCATGTAGTCAGTGCTAAACTTTGTAGCATGCCATGTTGTTAGAACTTCAGCAAAAATGTTCTGGACAGTAGTTGGAAAATTTTGATAGAATATGCTACAGATGTTAAGTTATAATGTAGTTCCTTCCTCCCTTTCTCCCTCCCTCCTTCCTTCCTTCCTCCTCCCTCCCTCTTATACATTTCCTTGCAATCTGTTTGGCAATTAAAGAGCCTTATAACTGAAAAGAAAATTCAAATTCAGATATAAACAAACCAATAGGAACCAGAAAAAAAATAATATTGATTAAATTAAAATTTTAATATTGGTTAAATAGAAATGTTTAACTAAATACTTGATGGAAGACATTATTACTTCCAATAGAAGAGAATATATGTAGCTCAGGGTTGAACGGCAAGTCCTCGGTGTTTTCTGAATTTGGTTGTTTGCTTGCAGACATTTCATTACTCAACTAGGTAACTTCATCGGTGCTAGTGAGCATGGGGTTTGCTCTCTGTTTATATACAGTAGCTTGCCCTTCCATTTTAGTGGGGGTGTGGTTTCTCCTTGGTAGGTCCTTTTTAGGGTGTTGGCTGCTGGAGAGAAACTGGAGAACACATTCTCTCCAGCAGCCAACACCCAAATGAGCAAGGATTAATACCAGCCAAAACAATCAAGCAGAAAACAATACTCTAATCCAGTGATGGCGAACCTTTTAGCGACCAAGTGCCCCAAAACTGACCCTACCCCTGCCCCACCTCCTGCCCCCCCCCCACCCTGCCTGCCCGGAGGGCCATTCACCACCTCCAGGGCCCGCTGCAGATCGCCCAGGCAGCCCAGCAGCATCATGGCGGCCATGCTCTCTGCCCATGCCCCGTAGCATCAACTGTGTGCGTTGGGGCATGAGGGCAGAGTTGCTGCCTGGCTGCCATGTCCTTGGCTGTGCTGTTCTGCATGGGCCACGCTCCGGGGCGATTCTCCTCCAAGGAGGCTGCTGGTGAGGAGAGGGTTGCGGGTGGAAGCAAGGCTGGGGCAACAGCATGTGTGCCTACAGAGAGGGCTCCGAGTGCCACCTCTGGCACCCGTGCCATAGGTTCGCCACCACTGCTCTAATCAAAGGGGAGTGAGGATTTCAGGTTTTTGTATACAATGAATTTTAAATGTTGTAAGCCAGTTAGAGTCACCATGTTTGAATTGGGTGACCATGTAAATTTGTTTAATAAAGAAATACACTTCCAAGGAGAAAACTGCCACCAATATTAGCAGGGCAAGCATTTTCTTAGATCATGGCACTTTTGATAATTTGAACTGGATTTTTTTGTTCAAAGTTTTAGAAGATATGAATGTTGGAGGCAAGTTAATATAAGTTTATAAATTTGCAGATGACACCAAGCTGAGGGGAATAGCCAATACTTTAGAAGATTGGCTTGAGATCCAGAAGGATCTTGACAGACTTGAACACTGGGCCCTATCTAGCAAAATGCAGTTCAGTGTGAGAAATGTAAGGTTTCACACAGGCAAAAAACCAAAGGCACAGATATAGAACAAGTAGTACATGGCTCAACAGCAGTAACCCTGAGAGGGATCTAGGAATCCTAGTGGACAATCACTTAAATATGAGCCAGCAGTGTGCTGCACTGCCAAAAAAGTCAATACAGTCCTAGGTTACATCAGTACAGAGATAGTATCAAAGCCACATGAAAGACTAGTGTCACTTTATGCTGCTTTGGTCACAGCGATACAAAAAAGATGCTGAGACTCTGGAAAGAATGCAAAGAAGAGCAACAAAGATGATTAGAGGGTGGAGGCTAAAACATATGATGAATGGTTGCAGGAACTGGGTATGTCTAGTCTAACAAAAAGAAGGACTAGAGTTGACATGATAGCAGTCTTCCAATATTTGAGTGCCTATAGTTAATGTGAGATACAAAAAGATATAAGACAAAGTTGCCCACAGTCTCTGTTTTGTTTATTTCAGTTTTTGAAATATCAAATAAAGGTATACAACAAGTTGACAATTTTTGTAGAAGATTTGGTTTTGGCAGATTCCTTAAAAGAAATTGAGTAAATTAAAAATAGATTGAAAGAATTTTAGTGACTAGTAGGTTTCAAGGTTAATAAACAGAAGACAGAGATGTTAACTGAAAATATGAAGATACAAGATCAAATAGAATTGAGGAATAAAACAGCTTTTAAGATTGAGAAGAAGGTAAAATATTCAGTATAACTGACAAATATGATGTTATCTTATTTCAAGATAATTGTTAAGTTAATGAAGTCAAAAAGACATGTTAAGATGGGATCAATTACAATTGTTATTGTTAGATAGAATTTCTGTGACTAAGATGAATATTTTATCTAGAATGTTATTTTTGTTTCAGACAATACCTGATGTAGCATTTAAACAATGACAGAAGGATATATCTAAATTTGTATGGCAAGGAATTAAAAAAACACGAGTTAAATATAAGGTATTACAAGATGTGAAGGAAAAAGGAAATTAGGGCCTAGCAGATTTGAAACTATATTTTGCAGCCTGCTATTTGATTTGAACGAAAAGTGTATGTTGTTAAGAAATAGAAGGTTATTGGATTTAGAAGGTCACGATTTGAAATTTGAGTGGCATTCGCATAAATATAGATTTTAAAATTCTTTTATCTCAGATGGGCTATTCTTAGAGTATAGAATGAATTTAACTGTAGAGGTTTTTAAGAAGAGATTAGACAGCCATTTGTCCAGAATTGTATACGGTCTCCTGCTTAAGCAAGGGGTTAGACTAGAAAACCTTTAAGGTGCCTTCCAGCTCTGTTATTTTGTATTTTATATTTTTCTGCTAGTGGAATTCCACTGGTGCAAAGATAACACTATATTTATGTAATTATTTCTTCTCCGTCATCCCAAGAGCAGTTGGATTGATTCTAAGACTTACCATTCCACTCGATACAATTTGAAGAATTTATTGGAGTATGTTAATAACGATGCACTGCTAAATAGAATGGAATTACAATCATTTGGATTTATTTAAAAATATATTATTATTGTTGTTATTGTTATTATTATTATCTATCATGGTATATTTTTGCCATCAGTATGCCTGAAGTATAAAAAAAAATAACATTGTTCAATTATATCGTCTTATACAAAATAGTTCCAAAAGTAACCAAGATGATATAAAGCTACCAAAGATCTAATAATGACCAGGCAATAGTCTACTCTAGTGGCTGAAATCTCTCCTGTCTTGAAGCTTAGTTATCATCTAATTTATTTTCTTCCAAGCAGTATATCTTCATCTTTTCCACCAATGCTTAATACATTACACTTCAGAATATGTGGTCTGTTAAAGGTCTTCCTTATACATGTTCATGGTCTCCTCCCGTGACTTTAAAAGTGTCTGATGGCCCTGAAACATACCCTGAAGAATACATTTATTCCAATAGAAAATGGAGAAACATCACCACCTGCAAATGAATTAGTGACACCTTTCCAAAGAGAGATGAGATCAGCATTTGGCATGCATCCTGAGTTTGGGGGTTGCCTGGCTACTGGTTCAACTAATTCCTCACTACACATGGAGTGTGTGGGGGGGGGGGGAGAAGGAAGAGAAAAGGAGAGAGAGAAATATGTTCTGAAAGTGGCTGGTTTCCTTTCAGGGCTAGCATTCAATCATACTTTTCTATCCATAGAATTTTCACACAGTTTAAAAGCTTTTGCAATTAAGAGATGCTATGAACTGAATGGCCCTCTGTGTGAATGGTTTTTTTTTTCTTCCCATAAGAATAGTGCTTTCTTTAAAGAATGAATATTACCTGGGAGTCAAAAAGGATCCAGAGGGAATTTGGGTGGAATTTTTCTATTGTTCTGAGAATAATTCTTTCAAAAGCATTAACTATGCAGTCTTGCCAGTATACCTACTTCATCTGCGTGTACTGCTGCAAAATTGCTACTGGGCTTCATCCTGCTGATTTCCAAATTGGCACATTGTTGAAGAAGTCCTGCGTAGTTTTATTCTCCTTTGCTATTTCCTAACTGGAAATTCAGTGTTCCTATCCTGTAATTATCCCAATATCTATAAAAAGCTTCAGATGAGGTGCATTGGAGTGGTTGTGCATTTAGTTCTTTGACTGTGTTACCCTACAGATCAGTAACCTTGATTGATCTGCTGTATTCCCAACCTTTCCTTTCTTCTTTCCAGAAGCAAAAGGGGTTGAAATGCCAATCAAACTGACTGTGTCCCAGGGGCAGCCAGTGAAGCTGAACTGTAGCCTGGAGGGAATGGAAGAACCGGAGATGCTGTGGATCAAGGATGGAGCTGTGGTGCAGGGTATAGACCAGGTGTACATTCCAGTAAATGAAGAACACTGGATAGGCTTCCTCAGGTAAGAATGAAATACAGAACAGAATATGTTAGATCAATCTATGATTAATGCTAATATTAAAGATTAGTTTATTTTGACATTTTCTGTGGAACATTGTATGTGGGGAAGGGCATTTGTGATTCTCTCGTCCTCCCTTATTTATTTTCACAGCAGTCCCATGAAATAATTTAGGTTGAGCCTAAGGCACCAGGTAAAATATCCAACTGGGCAATTTGTTTCCTGGATTTATTCTTTATTTGCTTAATATCTCATGAATCGTAGCCAACAACTCTAAGATGGGCAGACTTTCACATCCAATATAGAATTCTGGAAGTTGAAGTCTACAAATCTTGATGTTGCTGAGATTAGAAACACTGATCTAAACTTTTCATGCTTTCTAGTTCTTTCCCCATTTTTGTTGCTAATAATTTATAACATTTGTACATACTATTGAAATGCTTAAGGCACTATGCATTCATTATTTAGTAGCAATGCTTATGACAATACTGAACAAGTTCAGTATAATTTCCCCCTCCTCCCATAAGACAGCCTGAGTGAGAATTATTTGCTATAGGCAACAGTGGGCAGCTTTTTAAGGACTGCATTTTGGAGGGACAAAACTACTGTGAGAATGCTAAGTGGGTGGATTTTCAATTTCTTCCTTTGTTGTAGGAGAGGAAAGTCTCTTTGTTTTTTGTTGGTTTGCTAAGCTTATTTTAGGGGATTTGTGCCTGTAGCAAAATAATGGTAAGTGGTGTTTCTGTCTATAACAGTGATGGTGAACCTTTTAGAGACCGAGTGCCCAAACTGCAACCCAAAACCCATTTATGCATCGTCGGGTTCCGGCTGGGTGTGGCCATTGGCTGGGCGTGGCACATTGGCTGGGCAAGGCTGCGGTGGTAACGGCAGACTGGGTGGGACTAAAAAGTTCAATCAGTCAATTCCAATTTTGCAAGAACTTTTTTTTCCCGCGAGAAGTTGAAATTGATTGATTGATTGATTGAACCTTTTATAAAACCCAGCTGAAGGCTTAGAATTGGGCCACAGCGCACGTGCCCACAGAGAGGGCTCTGAGTGCCGCCTCTGGCACCTGTGCCATAGGTTTGCCACCACTGGTCTATAGAAACTCTCAGTCATCCAGGTCATGGTTGTCCCGAAGTGGTTTTTCAAGAGGCAACTAGACTTCCTTGTTTTTTTGTTTGAAGATCTTTTGCTTCTCATCCAAGGACCTTCTTCAGCTCTGACATCTTCAAAGCAAAACAAGAAAGTATAGTTGTCTCTTGAAAAAGCACCTTTGGAACAAATGGTATTACTGTTTTTCAAAATTATGGTAGAGGGACTCCAGGGATATACTGGGACATCCATGAGAAGGGGAGATATCAGAAAAGTCAAGATGGTAGTCACAACCCACAGACCTTTGATTGCATGGCTGCTATTGCCATTATGACTTTTAACAACACACACACACACACACACACACACACACACACACACACTGCAGATATTCTTGGAGTCAGAAAAAGGAAGTTTTTGGAGCTTTTATTTATCCCTGTGGCTTAAGGAAAACTATTTTTGCAACCTGATCTTAAGAAGCCCATTTGAAATATGTCCAACTGTACGTCCAACTGGTAAAACTTCACAGTACCATCTCTCTGTCAACCACCCAATCTTTTTCTTTTCTGTACCACTCATCCTTTCCATTTATTAGAATTTCTTGATGGCACTTGCAGGACTAGGAATTTAAGAAAGGAAGAAACAAAAGTGTTTTGATAAGATAGACGGTTTGGTGGGTGCCAGACAACTTACCTGTAGCACATTTGTGGCTATGGATAACCTATTGCAGTGATGGCGAACCTTTTAGAGACCGAGTGCCCAAAAACTGGCCCTGCCCTGCTCCACCCCCTGCCCCATCCCTGCTTCACCCCACCCTGCCTGCCCGCAGGGCCACTCACCGCCTCCAGGGCCCGCCGCAGATCGCCCAGGCAGCCCAGCAGCACCATGGCAGCCACACCCTCTGCCCACGCCCCGCAGCATCAACTGTGTGCGATGGCACGTGAGGGCAGAGTCTTGTCTACGCTGCCTGGCTGCCATGTCCTTGGCTGCGCTGCTCTGCATGGGCCATGCTTGGGGGCGATTCTCCTCCAGGGAGGCTGCTGATGAGGGGGTCGCGGCAGAGGCAAGGCTGGGGCAACGGCATGTGTGCCCACAGAGAGGGGTCCGAGTGCCGCCTCTGGCACCCGTGCCATAGGCTCGCCACCACTTACCTATTGTAATCACTGGAAACAGAATATGTTTTGCAAATACATGAAAATAAAGATAAAGGTGGATCTATAAATGCAGTTTTCTTGGCAACAGGAGAAATGCAGCTTTGTATGCCCTTCTCTGGGGCTACTTTTTAACTTCCCAGTTTGACTAAACACAGCAATCTTCCTGGCAGTTCTAACCAGGCCTAGCCCTACTTCTAAACCCAGACCCAGTTGTGTGGGTGCTGCTACTTACTGTGTGTAATTTTTAACCAGGGGTCTTGTTTTTTACATCCTGGATTCATACATAAAATAAGAGGTCATTTTTATAAGTAATAGAGAGGCAGAATATTCCAGTGCAAGAATGCAAATTGACATTGAATTGTCCATTCCCAACCTCTTAGCTTTATTAGCTAAGGAATCCAGAAAAAAACTTCCATTTCCCTCCAACTTTAAGAATGCATGAAAGAGAATTTGCTTCTGAGATATAAGTAAACATTTCCTTGACATTGTTTTTTTTCCCCTTTCACATTCTTTTCTCCTTGACTTTGATTAAAAGGAGAGAGTTTAATTCAGGCTGTACTTCTTAGATCAAATATGGGTTCTGTTGAGAGAAAAAGATGTGTCATACAAACCAAGCCTTAGTCATCTCCCACAAGTAATGTCCCAGTGTATTTACTCCATCATTTACTTTAAGCCAAGCGTGCAATACTTCAGACAGTTGATATAAAACATAGAAAAGATGCTTAGTGTGCTTCTGTGTATGTGTATAAAAAAACTTGAACCAGTTTTCCTGGTGCTTTTGTCAGATGTATTTGAGAAGAAGCTATCTGGAAATATCCCCTTTGAAGCCTTCCAAATAAATAGTTTCTTGAGATTTGTAAATTGTCAGCAGAGCCCTTGAAATTTTATTATGCTTCTGTAATGAAATTGATATCTCAGTGTTTGCAGGAAATTAATATTTCAGTGTTCTACAGTGACAAGCTTTAACGTTTGTACCTCAGGCAATCCTAACTAAAGTCTCCACTGGAGACTTCGGGTTACGTTGGTTGAATAATACTATATGGAAGGGCAGGGCAGGACAGACAGCAAATTAATAGGAAAATTAGGGAAACCTAAATATGAGAGTAGACTTCCTGTCTTAATGTCCAGAATGTGGGTTTAGTTATTACAAAGCTGGACACTGTCCCTAGTAGAAAGTTTGATAATTTTAAGAGCTAGTGCTGAGTGGTGGATAAGGCATTGAACTAGGACTGGGGAGATTCAGATCTAAATCCATCCTCAGTCATGGAAATTCTGGCATATATATATATATTTGACCACTCACTTTCTCTTGGTTCAGCCTACTTTACCGGGTTATTGTGGCATGGAAAAAATGAAGGCAGCTGCCCATGAACATCCACCTGAGCTCCTAGAGAAAATGATATATATATTACCATGCAAATTAATAGCTGAGAGTAGAATATTTCTCTTGGATCAGGTTTTTAAGATGTCGCCCCTAACAGCTTCTACAACAAATTGAAGTGATGCATTTCCTAAATGTTGTTATTATTTACCTGACATCTGAGACAAGTATATAAGTCACAGTATTTGCATCATGACATCACGCATGCTTCATCATTTATTGCCTTGCCTCACCATCACCACCCCTTGTATCTCCTGTGGACATCCATGGCTGTATCTCATCCCAGTGAAATGAGTTATACTCCCAAAGGCATTATAATAAGAAAATGATTAGTTTGTTTGGAGCTTATTAAATTTGAGCTATGCTGAGTAAGTTCAAAAAAATCACAGATCCTTAAGTAATTTCTTTTATGAAGGAACATTTGCTGTGTCCCGTTCACTCTTGTAAAACAAACATATTTGCTCTCTCTGCATATTTCCAAACTTCAGGTTTAGGGCTGGATAGCTTGGCAACATCAGACTTCCTGGAACCAGTGAATGATTTAACTTTCTCAAAATCTTCAGACAGGAATTGCACAGTTAATTCATGTGGGCAGTAATCCTAGATTATTACTTACCTTCCATTGGTGCCAATTTTTCCTAAACCCTTTTGAAAAAAGATCTTTCACTTCATTCATTGCAGTGTTTTTGTTTCTAGAGAAAATTTCCTCAACCAAATGTCCTCTAAATGTTTTGGGATCCCATAATTTCTGACCAGCATAATCAACACTTGGAAGCTGTGTTAGGGAAGGCTGTTCTAGAACATAGTTCTATCACTGCTGCGTAGTTCCAAGGGATAATTGCTTAGTTAATGCCCTTCTCCAAAAAGCTCCCTCTGCTTTCTGATCTATTCACAGAAACATTTTTGGGTGAAACCACCTGAAGGGGAACAACTTTGTTTATGTGTTTTTTTGTTTGCCACCCATCTCAGCCATAAGGTGATTCTGGGCAGCTTATAATGTTGTAGGATTTAATTCAGTGGCAGTGAAAACATCTTGTTTGCAAAATGGTTGCAAGTTTAACGCTTGGCAATTTTAGTCTAGATGGCTAAGCTGGAAATGTCTTCCAGGTAGAATCTGCTAGTCAGAGGAGATAGTTATTGACTAGATTTTATTTTGAGATACAGTTTGATATAGTAGCTAAGGCATCAGGCTAGAAATGAAGACTATGAGTCCTAGTCCTAGTCTTAGCTAACTGGATGATCTTGGGCCAATCAATTTCTCACAGCCCTAGGAATCAAGCAATGACAAACTACTTCTGAAATCTTGCCAAGAAAACTACAGGGCCTAGTCTGGACAGTTGCCAAAAGTCAAAACTGACTTGAAGGCACACACATAAAAAATGTTTCATTTATTTCATTGATGCAGTTCCCTTTCTTCCTTTTTAAAATGTTCGGGGTGGGGAAAAACAATAACACTAAAAAGGCTACATTTTTCAACTTGTCACAAATTAAAATTTTCTGGAAAAACAAAAGAATTGAGAGATATTTTATATCAAATTTTTGTTTGTATACAGTGTTATTTACCATTTTATATTCCCCTTTCAAACTCTCTAGCTTGAAGTCTGTAGATCGGACAGATTCTGGAAAATATTGGTGCCAAGTGGAGACCAATGGGAAGAAAGAGGAATCACAGCATGTATGGCTTATTGTGGAAGGTAAGGGGCCATGTTGCTGACTTCTTCTGAGACGGTTGTTATAACTGTACATGAAGGTTGTGAGAAGAGATTGCCTTGATTAATGTTAGCTAATTTCCAGGGTTTGGGCACCTATGACCAAAACAAGCATACTCTCATAATGAGCCAATAAAGAGCCAAGTGGTGGAAGGGGGCAGCTGTTGGCTATTACATAATTTTTGTTATCTTTGGTAGTACAGTATATGGAACATTTCCAGTGCTATTTCCAGACTTGTATTTGAAAATGTGCATAGGAAATTGCTAGAGCGTGGCAGTCGGCCTCTGTCTTCACAATAGAATAATGAGATGAGTATGTTGGTGATTATATCAAATGTGGAGGAAGGTCCAGAGAATTTTCAAGATACTGACTTGCCACTTCTGTGTGAGGAGAGATTGGTGTCTTTCTCTGTTTTAGTTCTTAGATATATGTTATGAAAATCAGGGATAGGGAGATCACATATTATTGCCTGTGGCATTGATTTTAAATATATGGCTTAGCTTTGTTAGGAAATTCCAAAGGATCCCAGTCAGTTACAGATAAATGTTAATCAGATTAAGGAGAGGCAGGAGACTGTTAAACACAAGCTAGGGATGTGTTCAAAGGTCAATAGCTATGATCAGGAAGAAGTTGGAGTTGAGTATTAGATTTGGTAGATCATAATCAAAGAGACAGAGGATGAGGTTTAGTGGAAAACTGGGCTGGAGAATTAATGTTAGATAAAGTCAGACAAGCTAAAACTAAGGAAAAAATGGTTTGGATAGATCAGTGATGGCGAACCTTTTAGAGACCGAGTGCCCAAAAACTGGCCCTGCCCCTGCCCCCGCCCCCGCCCCACCCCCGCCCCCGCCCCACCCCGTTCCACCCCCGCTTCACCCCACCCTGCCTGCCCGCAAGGCCACTCACCACCTCCAAGGCCCGCTGTAGATCGCCCAGGCAGCCCAGCAGTGCCATGGCGGCCATGCCTTCAGCCCATGCCCCACAGCATCAATTGTGTGCGTTGGGGCGTGAGGGCAGAGTCTTGTCTACGCTGCCTGGCTGCCATGTCCTTGGCTGCGCTGCTCCGTGTAGGCCATGCTCAGGGGCGATTCTCCTCCAGGGAGGCTGCTGGTGAGGAGGGGGTTGCAGGTGGAGACAAGGCTGGGGCAATGGCACGTGTGCGCACAGAGAGGGCTCCGAGTGCCGCCTCTGGCACCCATGCCATAGGTTCGCCACCACTGGGATAGACAGTTCTTATAAGTAAATGCTCCAGTCTGCTTGGCTGGTTCAGGAACCAGAAGGCTGGTGTCCCAGGAGGGAGATTGTCTATTGGAGGCTCTGATTAAATATCTCACATGGTGTCTTACTGCACATTAAATTTTAATGGTTGTGGGGTTTTTTTTCCTCCTGGTATCACTGTTTAGATTTTTAAATAGTCTATATTTTGATAGTTGATGAATGTAATAGGATCTTAGCTGCTTATTAATGCACCTGTGCTTTTAACTGTAGTGAAAGTGTGTTGGAGTAGCATATAGGGCAGTGATAGCGAACCTTTTAGAGACCGAGTGCCCAAACTGCAACCCAAAACCCACTTATGCATCATCGGGTGCTGGGTGGGCGTGGTTCATTGGGTGGGCATGGCCCATTGGGTGGGCATGGCTGCGGTGGTAATGGCAGACTGGGTGGGACTAAAAAGTTCAATCAATCAATTCCAACTTTGCAAGATCTTTTTTTTTCCCGCAAGAAGTTGAAATTGACTGATTGATTGAACCTTTTTTTTTTTGCACACGGCGGCGGAGGCCTAAAGTGAAAAGGTTTTATAAAACCCAGCTGAAGGCCTAGAACTGGGGTGATGGCACACGTGCCACAGAGAGGGCTCTGAGTGCCATCTCTGGCACCCGTGCCATAGGTTTGCCACCACTGATATAGCGTTTTATTCATTCGTTACTTCTGTTTAGATGGATACTTGGTAGTTTATGCAGATTGGATGGAGGGCATATTAGAGAGCCTTTGGCCTGGTAACTGTATATCCGTGAAGTCCGAAGTTACATGATTCATAAAGGATGAGTGGCTTCCTTTAGCTTACCTTGGGAGGATCTGTATGGGCTGTAATTATGGCTATGGATCTGACCACGCTATCAGTGTCAGCTTGTATAATAACTGGAAAGGATTTTGCAGCAGGGCTACATTCTAACGCTTGCTGTTCTGACTCATGGGTGAATCAGAGTCCCAGCATGGGCTCAGAGTACCATGCTCTTTATATATATATATATATATAGGCACAAAAATGTTTGCAGTACTGTTTTTTTCTACCCTTTGGGAAGAAATAATGAGATCTTCAGTGGCAGTAAGCAGATAGAAACAATACAGGAGGGGGTGCATGATCCCTGTCAGCCACATTGGGAACAAGGAAGCCTCTGCTTTTCCTTATTATCGTTTGGATTAAAAGGGGGGGGGGGAGGCTAGATGTCATTTTAAGAGAAATGCGATCACTGGAGAAACTGATAGAGAATCTAGGTAAGAAAAATTGGGTGTTTGAATTTCTTCAGGATATATCAAAGACACACACACACACAAAGAGAGAGAGAGAAAGATACACACAGATACATGTACCCTGATGCCAACTAAGGACATGTTTGTAAAGTTGAAGCAGCCAGGCTTACTCAGTCATACACGGAGCTATTCCTCCTCCAAACTTTCTCTCTTGAGCATATTCTCTATCTTCCTTCTCCTTTCCTAGTATAAAAAGGGAACAGTTAGTTTCTTTAGTGTCAGAAGGGAAAGGAAAATTCTGACTATAGATGTCAGCTCTTAAAGGTAGACCAGCCTTATATGTGCTAAGACTCTTTTAACTGTAAATATATAGTAGCAGCATTTCGCAAGTCTCAATGTGTTTTTCTCTTTCCCTCCTTTTTCATAAGAACAGGGAGGATCTTGTCTGTCTTCTCAAGTTACATCCTGGACTCAACTCTCTTTTATCTGACTTATTGTTATTTCATATGGCATAACAGAATACAGCATTTGTGCATAAAGATTCACAAAAACAGCATGTAAAATGCATATCAAAATATAAAACACCAAAACAGTGAATCTGACTCTTGTCTTGGTAATGGCTTTCCTCCCTGACCACTCTGTCTGTTTTCTATAAATGGACAGAATTCTTGTTTCAAATTTCTGTTTAGTCACGAATTCAACTTGTGACAAAATGTTACTTTCCACATTAGTTCTTTCCTCTAAAAACTGGAATAGCAGAGACTCATATTGTAAGACTGTTGTGAAGACCAATGTTTGTCAAGAAGCTCTTTGTATATTTATTACAGCTATCTCAAAACATTTGTACTTATTGTACCTTATCGCAAGGTAACTGTTTCTACTTCAGAATGTACACTTATTTGCTGTAGATAAATAAGGATAAGGTCCAAATATGAGAGACCCGTGGATGCTTTCATGAAATGGCAACTGAGGGAACACAAGCTTTCATAAAACATCAGTCTACCAAAAGATAAAGAAGAGAAGCTAAAAGAAAAGGCCTCACCTCAAAAGGAAAAAAAATAGTTTAAGAAAAACAAAACAAATCAAAGGCAAGTAACTTTTAAAAATAATGTCAGCCCACAGAACCAAGAATGACACATGGAGTTACTTTCTGAGTAGTTGTTTATTGCTTACGTACAAACAGAATCTTTCAGTTTCAGTCTTTGCATAATTATTACATATATTCTGTGAATTACTAGGGAGGGTCCCTTTTCGCTCTCTTCCAGACATTCCAAGCTCTGCTGTCTTTTTGCCCTCTGAGAAAGAGCCCCTCCCTGCTGAGACTCCAAACTACAACCCACCACGATTATAAGTTAGTTTAATGTTTATCAACCTCAAAAACATTAAGCTCTATGGATTTCAGCTTCCTGGCATGATGGCTGGGGAATTCTGGGAGTTGAAGTCCATAAAATTAAAAGTGCTTGGCTGAGAAACACTTAGAAGAACAAAATAGCCTGCTGTCTATAAAGGAAGAACCTGTATTCATAAAGATACTACAGACATTATTCTGACCAGCAAAATCTGCAGAAAGGTCAAAACAGACAAGCTGGCAGACATGGCAGTGTAATCCAGTCCCCGCCCATTTTATACATGCATTAATGTTGCATGTATGTATAAAGATGAGGGGTTACAACTGTATTACCGAGTAATTGGCTATTTAATCTCCATCCCTCTAGTCTGGACCCTACCATTAGAACTAGGATGATCCTATAACTTACTTTACAGAGCATTGTCTTATGTTTGTAGTTACCCATTCACAATTAACATCTGAGCAAGGACTGTGGGTCACTTGGTCATGCTCAGTCTCACTGTGGTCCTGTTCCTGTTTATTGAAGACCACTACCACCCCTACATCAGAGGTACAGCAGAATTTATATATAAAGAACCATCACTACTTTTTGCTTCCTTGTAAGTAATATTTTACTTACATAGAAAATATAATTTTTTTTCAGGAAATTTTACAGCTAAATGCTTCTGTTGACATAACTTAAACTCTGAAGGTCAAAGAGTATTGCTTTTACTTTACTAAAACAAAAAATATCACGTTTAAAGCCAACAGAGCCAAAGAGCTATTTGATTTGGATTTTGAACAATTGTTTATTTAAGAATGAAAACAAAACAAGCTGTCATTTAAAATTATTACTTAGTACTCTTTCTTATGTCAGCCTTGCGAGTTATTGAATATCTGAAAGAACATTATTAAGTCATCTTATGGTAGATGGGTATCCTAAAATGCTGTTACAACTTCTAAAAATGAAAAGCAGCCCCAGGAGAACACAAGAACACAAGATTCCCTAGCTTTGAACCAGACAGACTATACATAGCAGATTAGGAGAACTGTCTCAGAATGAGAACAATCCCACAGTGGGTGTTTTCTAACATTCTTTCAATCCTTCAGGATATTTTCAGATATCCCAGCTTACCTTGGCCATTGTTTTTCTGGACAGGTAGCCTCATCTCTAAACAAAGCACA